ATAAAATAAAAAAGAAAATGAAAAGAAAAATTTTGTTCAAAGTGTTTATTACTAGCCTACATATGTAATAAACTCGAGTTTTCTTCTAGTGTTCCTTTTCTTCTTCTTCTTCTTCTTCTTATTCTTCGTCGTCGTCGTCATCGTTTGTCGTCGTTCCCAGTTCCCACTAGGGGCTTGCACTCTTCTCTTAGCAAGGTTTCCGTGCTGGTTAGTAGCTCTCTCACGGCGGAGCACTGAGCGGCCTTGACTCTGAGCTCGGTTCTCTTGCGGGGCCGCTCTCTCTCTCTCTCTCTTTTTTTTTTTTTTTTTTTATGTAGAGAGAGAGAGATCAGCTATATATGTGTGCATTAGTATGTGCGTTTATGTATCTCTGTATTTACCGGCCCATGTAGCATACTACATCAATGTGTACACGTGTGCAAGCGGCCTTCTCTTTCGCTTCACCTACTACACACACCGACATAAGCGCACACTTAACACACATACACGGATAGCATATCACGTATATACGTAGAATTCTTCTTATCTTCTTTCTTTCTTTCTCTTTCTTCCTTTTCTACTCTATTTCCTTTAATTAGATATTTGTTACTATTTTCCTTCGTTCTTTATCTTAATTAGAACAATATTCTTTCATCTTTTATCATATATCGTTTTTCTCTAATTGTTATTTTATTGAAGAAAATTAAAGTAAAAAACAAATGTTAAAGTTTCAAGGTTAAAAAAGGAAATTTTGTGTAAAGTAAAGGGGAAAAAGATAGAAGAGGAATAGAGGATGACGATCTCGATGTGCTTCAACAAAGTTGACACGGTCGAATACGAAAGTATAATAGTTGAGAAGTTAGATATGTATATATGTGTATAAGTAATCTTCGTAGGTGGACGAACGAGGCTTATGTATTTTTAAAGATTACATATGTATACCGAATAGTTTCTCTATATTTTTTCTTTTTGATCATAGAGAGTTACCTTCAACACACGTGCGCCATCTTAGCTTGGACGCTTTGAACTAAGAGACGCCATATTGAAAAGATACGAAATGTGTATATGATTTATCTTATTTAATAAGTTTTCCTCTTTCTTTTTCTTTCTAATCGATTAATCATTTTCACTAATAAAAAGAAAATTATCGACAACATAATTAAGAGATCAATATAATATTTTTAATTTATTTTAAATATTGTATTTTCTATAATCTATACAAATTTCGTGAGACTTATTAGGTTAGGTTAAACTCTCTATTACTAAAAAATGAGTTTGAAATCTTTTAAATTTTAAATCGTGCTCGAACGTACACGCGTACACATAGAATACAACTTTGTCAATGTCCTGTAGTATCCCTTTCGAAGCCTCACATGCTATTCAACTTTATTGTCATCATATGAACGTACGCGGAAACGCGTTTTAAACGTCCCCCTGCCTTCGTTTGTCCACTTATACGCTGTTTGCTTTTTAAAACTCTGCCGTAACTATTTATTACAATGCGGTTAGAATTTCATGTTTTCCACGTGTCGTTTTTAACGATGTCACCAGAGAATTATGTCAGGGGACTTTGAACAAAACAAAAATATATATACCTATACCAATGGCATATTTGCATATATGTAACATCATTGACAATTTTGTGAATGAATGAAAGTAAAAAATAATTACTTGAAATTAACTCAATTGAACACACACACAGACACATTTTGTATATTTTACTTTCACTCGATGAAAACACGACACACGCGTGTTTGCAAAGATATGTAAAAAAAAATGTGTTTCAATGAATATTTAACAGGAAGGAATTTCAATTTGTTTTTCTTAAAGTTTCCAAATATTTTTGATTCTTAATTCACGTAGAGGCCATCAACCAAATCGCGAACGAAACAACGTTGTTACGTAAGGTCAGGTTTTAGAAGCAACAACTCCACTTTGTCGCAAATTTCTGCTTCTTTTTATTTTTTCTTCTCAAAATATCGCGAATTTTTTTTCAAAAATAAAACAAAATCGTGCTACCAACTTGACAAAGGTCTTCCTC